GCCGCTCTATTTTTCAATTCTCTCTCAAAGGGAGGGGGCGCTCAATTAGAGAAAATACGGTAGATACCATACGGTGGCCAAAAAGATACAAACAGTCCCTAAAGTAGGGTGTAGACATAAGTTGGGGAGGTAGTCTTCTATTGAGGTCCAACTATATAAAAATTTCATAGTTTACTATATCAATGCCATTTAAAGAAAATTTTAATAAAAAACAGGTTTCCAGACTAATTTTATTGTTATTATTTTTGTTGTTTTCGCCCAAAATTGGCTAGACTCACAAAAAAGCATTATTATTGTAACCTTTCTAATTCTGTTTTTGTTATAAAATTTATTTAATTTCTTTTTTTTCTGTCCGTTCCTTTTTTGAAATTATTTTTAAAATGCGCACAGCATGTAAACATTTATTAGGAGAAAAATAAAAAAATTTGAAAAATAACAAGAATAAAATTTTGCTGGGTGAGTACAAATTTAATAAATAATTTGAAAAAAAATATATTTTAAAAATTTAACAAAATGCTGTGCGCATTTTAAAAATACCTGTGTTCATACAAAAATGGTCCGAGTTGAGGAAATTTCGGTTTGTGTTACGGACCGACCTTCAAATTTTTTTCCGATCTGATTCTTCGGATCGGTGTTCGAATTTTGATATCACCGCTGTCCGATCCGTAGAAAATCTTAGGATCATATACAAACCCAAACCCGACATGTTCTTAATCCGGCCAATCCTTGGTACATTAGCCTTGCATCTAGTCAAGTTTGACATGAGCTGAATCTTGTTGTACCAAAATATTTTCTAGGTTGAGTTATCGTCTTGCAGTCTAGCTTGGCTTGCTGTAAAGATTAAATTGACATTTGGGGAATTTGAGGGATTAAGGAGATAATCCCTCACCAAATCACTCTCATATAATTTATGATCAAATATAGAGCTTGGACTTAATTGAAAATTTTTAAAAATAATTTTTAATATAATTTTTTTATTTCTAAATTTTACTCAGAATTAAATAACAACGCCCAAATTTTTCCGTTTAATCAAGAAAAAATTTAATTTTATGATATTTGCTCTAATTTATTTTAATAGCACTTTTATTGTAAAATAACCGCAAAATATAATCGGAATTAAATAAATTTTTTGATTTTTGGACGCGCAAATTTAATTACAAATTAGAGCCGGTTTCGGCTTGATTAAAAAGGCTAAACTACTATCTGCAATCTCCTTTTTTAGTAAATTCTAATTATTATCGTCTCACTTTAAGATTACTTTAATTAATATTTGCTATAATTAAGATAAATTCTTGTACATATTTTACTTAAGAAAAGTTTTGGAAAATTCTCAATTTATTTGCCAAATATGTAAGAAAAAATTAAAGAATTAATTTTAAAATATTTTTTTTTCAAAAATTTTTTCTGAAAATTATGTAGAAAATAACCAAACAGATACATAGGTATAAAATTACCAAAATTTTATACTATATATTATTAAAATACATAAATCGTGTCCGGAAAATCTGTCATAGGACACTCCCTTAGTGAAATATTCGTCAATCCTCACTACCCAAACTACCGCAGCCCAAAAATTTCTATACTTTTATGTGTCTGGATTAAAAGAAAGATCGAGGGATTTGGGATACTAAGGGGAACATATGAGGATTTGTTGGGATATCGGTGCGATTTTCGGGATATAGAATTAAGGGGATATAGGTGGACAACTTAAATTAATGTTCCAAAAATTCTATAATTTTTCTGAAAAATTCTGAATTTTATTTAATATTTCTGAAAATTATATATTAAATTTTAGTGTTCTGAAAACTACATAATTAAAATTTTAATGTTCTGATTTTTATTTATTTTTATGTAGTAAACAAATTTGCCCGGAAATAAACTTGTGTGTCTCGCAAACAAATAAAAATACTACAACTTGTTCTATGATATAAATTTTCTGCGCATTTAATTTCCGCACACACCCAACTTTTTTTTCCGTTCCTTATAATGCTAAATTAATTTTATAAACTTTTTAAAATTAATTTTCAAAATTTCAAATTTTTTTTGAAAATTAGATGCCATATTTTCTGATTAAGCCCCTGTCTGAATTACTTAGATCCCCTATCTTAATAAAACCCACCCTCCCTTTGGAGCAGAGTTGGGTCGGAACAGTCAAAGGTGTCGGAAGTCGGAAGAGCCAGAAATCGGAAATGGCTCAAAAGTCGGAACTCGGAAGTCAAAATTATTTTCAGAAGTCGGAAATCTGAAGGAAAAAAACGTCGGAAATCGGAATTCCGACCCACTCTCCCTTTGGAGGATGGATGTAAAATAGAGGTCTTCGTATGTATAGACCCCTTCCTTTACTTTGAGACCCTTTCGTGTGATTATTAATAAATAGACTTCATGGGCTCTATTACCCTAAAATTTAGCTAAATTATTAATTTTTCATATATTTATTTCTTTTTCTCGTTATTGGTGGTGCCCCAAATTCACTTTTCGTTATTATTTTCCACTCCCTCGTGTGTTGATTAATTTTTCCTTCCATTAAATCATTTTTCCTTCCTTGTTTCAATTTTTCTTGTTTTTTCATTTCCGTTACATGTGACTAAACTTTTAAGAAAAAATTAAATTTTGTGTCTTTTCGCATAAAAAAGAGACGGAAATCGTCTTAAAATGAGAAAAATAACAAACAAGGTGGGTGCCCCAAATTCACTTTTTATTTTAAATTTTTAATTAATTAATTTATTTTTTAATTCATTTTAATTGAAAATTTAACTTGTTTTTATTCTTGAAAATTTAATTAAGAGAGGGAGGAATATAAGTTTATTCTGTTTACTGGAAATGAGAGAAATTAGATTACTGTAGTTCTATTAAAGAGAATAAAAATCAGAAAAATAATTATCAGAATTATACTTTTAAAAACTATAACTCTAATTATAACTCTAATAAAATCAGAATTCTGATTTATTTTTCACCTTATTCTGAAATAACTTTAAATAAAATAAACTTGAAAATTCTGACGAAAATAAACTTGAATTCTGATTTAATTAAATTATAGTTTATTTAAGTTTATTTATAGAACTATAAATCAGAATTCAGAATTTTCTCTTTTTATTATAGAAAATACAAAACTTCTGGAAATAATATTAAACCAGAATTATCAATCAGAATATATTTTGTTTATGATTATCTTTAAATTTTAATTCTGATTAAATAATAAGTTAAAAAACCAGAATATTTAATTCTGATTTCTTTTATATTTTAATTAATTTAATTATAAGTTATAATTCTGTTTTTATACAAAATATATGCTTATTCTGATTTAAACCAGAATATATTTGTTTAAAAACCAGAATATTTAATTCTGATTTTCTTTTTTCTATCAATTATTCTAATTACGAATTATAATTCTGATTTTATAAAAAAATATATGCTTATTCTAATTTAAACCAGAAATTTTATATATTATATTCAAATAACCTTGTTTAATTAATTTACAATATAAATTAATTATATTTTTTACAAATCGTTTTATATCAAAATTAATTAATTAATGTGTGCGGTCGCAAAAAAACTAATTTTTTTTCTTCTTTGTTTCCCTTTTACAATAAAATTGGAGGATAGAAAAACCCGCGCAGCTTTCATTATCACATCAAAAAAATTTATTTTAAAGCAGATTACAAATTAGGAAAAAATTTTTTTTATATCCCAAAAAGCTCGTTTATTGTAATTATTATTTGTAACCGGCTCATTTTTGACTTGATATTTTTTATGTTTAATCATATTTCCATTTTTGTTTTTTATTCCAATAAAAAATGGATAATTGCCCAATTTGCACATTTAATCTTCCATATAAATAATTTAATATATTCTTATCTTATTCATTTTCCCTTCATTTTTCCATTCATCTTTCTTCATTTTCTTCATTTTTTCCCGGTTTCCCAGTTATTTGAATGTGTAAAATCTGAGAAAACATGCTGTGATTATCCTTGATCACACTTCCATAAGCAAATCATCAACCAGATATGATCTATCCAAAATTAATTTTATTGGATTGGACATCTAAGTAGTTTTGTTTATATCGTATCAAATTTGTCTTTATCCATATATAAAAATATTTATTAGTGTACCAAATCATAACCCATTATTCATGGTTAATTAACAGAAGCGGAAAACTGAGCGAAAAAAACCCCGATAACCAAAAACCGCGGATTACCTGTTAATAAATGATCTCAAACAACCGTAGTATTCTTGTATGACAATGAGGAGGGCAATTATTTAAGGGTAATTAATCGAGAAAATATATTAAATATTCATTTAATTATTAACGTTAGAAGCCTCAAATTTTATCAATTTGTACAATATTTTCTAATTATTTACCTATATTTTTATTTAATTTTTATTTAGCCTCTTTATAAATTTAACCTTGCTTAATTAGAAAATATCAAAAAATCTTTCCAAAAAAAATTTTTTTCCATATAAATTTCATCAATAATCAAATTTGACAGCCCAAAATTAAGCGGAACTTGTCTTTCATTTAACTTTAATTTTCAATGTGAGACAAAACTTTTGTGTGATCATTCATCGTTTTCTCTCAAATAAATATTAATGTTCACAAATTAGTATAAATAAACTGCGCGGAATTATGGCGCCTCTCCTTGTTTTTTGGTTAATTTCTTAATTTTCTGGATGAATGACTCAGATTTTGAATTTCTTTCCCTTTATTCCTCCCACGCATACAATAAAACTTTGTGACGCGAAAAAAAATTTTTTTTTCTTGCAAAGCTCATGAAAAAAAATTGAGACGTCACAGGAGATGAATTTAAAAATTACTACATAAATATGAAGGATATATATTTTAACTATTTATTTATTTTATTAATTGTTGAATGATTAATATTTATTTATTATTTATTTATTCAGCGAATAATTCAATTTTATTTAATAATTTTTCATTTAATAATTGGGGGTGGGCAATAAAAACCTTATAAATATCCAGAGAAGAAGTTTAACAAAAGTTTAGCCACCGGGCAGGATTCGAACCTGAAACCTCCTTTGAATTATTGACGGAGACCTTCTTAACCTGAGACCACTTTTAGTTCACCTCTTCTAGGAGCTCTAACACCGAGCTACCGGGGCATCGACTAATGCTTTCTCTTTTCCTAATTAGATCGCTTAACCCTCGCCTAAGCGTTTTAAATGCTATAAGGTGAATCATCCTTAAACCAGAAGGAATTAGAATAATTTGTGTACTGAATCCTTCAAAAACTAACTGACAGAGCGCCAAGAAGCTTATCTCTTTAATTCATCAACAAATAAATTTTTAATTTAATTATATTTATTTTTGTGATAGTAACACCCCATACATTCAAAGACAATTAAAAATGACTGGCGCCTTAGCTTTTATACTATTTATTAGAAAATGTGTCTTTTATACTGCTTTTATTCTTATTATAAGTTAATATTCAGAGTTAAATTTATTATTTAAATTATTTTATTAAATAGAGCTCATCCGAAGTAGATATCTCTCTAAAATATAAGTAGAACCACCAGGAATTAGAGGACAACAAGAGAGGTTCAATTTCAAACTAGTTTGAAAATAAAACTCTAAGGGTAGAAGCTTGACATACATATACCTATCTACAATTTAAAATGAGTACCAGCCTTAAATAGAGCTCCCTGGGAGGACAGTTGTGGAATCGTTTCACTTGGAATATTATTTTATGGAATAAGTTTACTCTTCGTTTCAGAATATTTAATAACTTGAACAAGAATTTTGGGAATATTTAATGGTTAATCAGTCATTGTTAAAAGGATGCTGGTCATTTAAATCTCTCCCAAATCTCTTCCTAAATGACTCATTCTTTTCAAAATTATTTTCTTTTTACTTCAAAATATTCATAAAAGCTTCCAAGAAATGTTAAAAATTTTGTCATAAAATTAATAAACTTCTAAAATCATTTTCCGCTCTAGTTGTAACTATCGGGCGATCTCGTTGTATTAACAAGGGATTTAGGAGAGTACTAGCTACTTTATATTATTATTGGATTTATTTAATTTAGTAATTATTTAATTTAGTAACCAAAATGAATAATTAATTAGTAAAATATCATCATTTAATGCTACACTTTTTTTTAAATTTTTGTAGGGTTATTGCCGACCGCTTATTAACCGGCACCTCCGGTTTTCCCAGGTTTTTAGCTTTTTGTCTTTGATTGACCTCCAATTTTCAGTTTCGGTTTATTGGCCCAAAAACACCGGTTTTCGGGTTCGGTTCAGCTAACCGACCTCCAACAACTCTATTTTTCAAACGATAAAAAACGTCATTCAAAAAAACGTGTGTCCTTTGTTTTAACTATTTTTTACAAACTACATTCAAAGCAAAATACTTTTTGTAATCATCTGTTTTTTCTAATTAGAGTTGTACCCCGACCCCGTACCCCGAACCCCGACCCCGTTCCCGAACGATTTTTTCACGATTCTCCCCGACCCGAACCCCGCCCCGAAACATTTCGAAAACCCCGTACCCCGACCATAAAAGTTTCGGGGTTATCGGGGTTTTATACACCCAAAAAATGCCATTTTTGTGAGAATTTTAAGAGAAAAATTTTAAAAATTTCCTCACAATTTACTTTGCCTTTATTATTTTTGAAAGAAAAATGAATGAAATATCAAAATTTTCTTTCATTCTTAATTAAGAGACTTGTGGTTGAGTGGCTTAGTTGTTGGTTTTAGCCTATATTTCCATTAATATAGGATTGGGTTCGGATCCATATAAGGAGAACTCTTTTGTTTTTATATTTCTTTACAAAAACAAATTATTAACGAGTTAAATTTTAATTTTAAAATATTAATTTTATTTTTAACTGATATCCCTTGAACGACCCTTAATCCTTCAAACCCCTTGTATCACCAGTAAGTCTATTTTTAGCGCCGCAGGCGAAAATTTTGAGAATTTTGGACCCCCTGGATACGCCCTTGACTTAATCTCTCAAACCGCCTTATATTCCCAGATTACACCTTATATCCCGGATGGTGGACTGCGGATTGCGTAAGATTGTGTGTTTTTGACTTGTAGACTGAAGATTACGACTGCGTATTTTAAAGTTAAAATTGCGGACTGCGGAAAATTGTGGACTCTCAAAACTGATTGAGTTTAAAAACTTCAAACGATGATGGGATCCCGCGGAATATATCCTATAAATCCCAGTAATCCAGCTTATCGATTAAAGCCAGTAAGTTCGAGATGTGAAGCAAAGTATGGAGCTAAAAATTTTTAATTTCAGCGCCGCAGGCAAAAATTTTGAGATATTCGGAAGGCTAAGGACCAAATTTCCTCCTTTTTCAGCGCCGCAGGCGAAAATTTTTCGAATTTTGGAAGGCCAAGGAGCCAGATTTCTCCCCTTTTTGTCCACAAATCTGGTAAAATATTATCGAGTCTTGTTCGAGTCGGGCCGACTTTTTCCGAGACAATTTTTTTCGGGCCTGTTTTTATCGAGTCGGGCCGGTACGAGTCACTTTCGGGCCTAACTTTATCGAGTCGGGCCGTTACGAGTCTTTTTCGGGCCCAACTTTATCGAGTCGGGCCGGTACGAGACTTTTTCGGGCCAAACATCGAGGCATGACTCGATCTTTCGGTCCGAGTCGGTCCATTTTGGCAACCCTATCCGCAATACTTCAATATTCTTATTAATCACTGATATCCCTTGAAACAACAAAAATCACTCCAGATCACCTTGCACCCCTAGATATACCATTTAATCCCTAAAAATCCCGCTTAATCCCTCCATATCCACTTATATCCCAAGTTATACACTTTAATCCCTTCAAATCCCCTCTAATTTCTCCAAATCCTACTTAATTTTTGAATAAATTAGCGAAAATATACCGAGATCTGATTATTTTTGAGCATTTTTTTCTCTAAAAATTTTTTCCCTAAAACCCCGTACCCCGACCCGAACCCCGGTCATATTTTGCTCCCCCGACCCGAACCCCGCCCCGAAACAATTGAAAAACCCCGTACCCCGACATACCCGCCCCCGAACGTTCGGGGTACAACCCTATTTCTAATCATATTTTTAGTTGTTAAAATATAAACTATAATGTACTCTGTATTATGATAAAAACTATATTATGATAAAAAAGAGTACAATGGAAGTATATAAAAAGTATCAGAGTTAAAAAATTTTTTCTATTCAAAATTTTTATTTTTCGATTTATTCGCATGCTAGGCCTACGTTAAGTAAAAATATTATTAGTAATATTTCTGAAAATTATTTTTTCAAGCATTAATAAGTAATCTCATTAATTACTCAATCCTTTATTAATCATCCCGGTATTAACCCCTGTATAACGTGCTTAAATAAAGCCACTTTTTAAGGATGGTCGAGACTAGTGCGGGGTATTGGGCATTTAAGTTCCGGTGTTTTCAAAATATTAGCTATGGCTACAGTTCCGTAACCGGGCTTTGGAGCTAGCTCACAGTTATGAGCTAGTATCATTCACTAACTCACGGGTGAGCTAGCTCAACCAGCACTGGTCGAGAAATAAATGAAGAGCTTTAAGGAAGCTCTTATTTATGAGATTTAGAGAGATACGCTTAAATCTGGCCATAATTTTCATTAAAATATGTGAAAATATTTTTTGTTTTTTGTGTTTTTTGTGCTCTAAGCTTCATAAATTCCCTTTGCCGATCAAATATTTTATGTTTAATCACCAAATAATTTTTTAAAAATTATTTTCAGATATTTAATTAATTTATTTGTATGCACTAATAATTTATTAATTAATTATAAATGGACGATAAAATAATAATTACAACACAAACAAAATTAATAAAAATTAAAAGGAGTGAAAAAAGGAAAAGGAAAATTACTAATTACAATTTACAAATGTTTGCAATAATTTTTGTTGCCAGTAGTTTAATGCTTTTGCTAACACTTGCAGTTGATTCAGCTGATGCAATGCCTTTAAAAAGGAGAAAAAGGTAGCTGGAAAAATTTTTTTTGTTGAATTTTTTTAAATTTTTCAAAAAATTATGAAAATTTTTGAAATTTTCCGAAAAAAAAATTTTGAAAATTTTTTTAAAATTTTCTTTAAATTTTCAAAAAAAAATTTAAAAAATTTTTTTTTAATTTTCAAAAATTTTTTTTAATTTTCAAAAAAAAAATTTCAAAAAAATTTTTTTCAAAAATATATTTTTAAATGAAGTCTGTAAAAAATTTTAGAAAATCTTTTTTATTTTTTCAAAATTTTTTTCGGAAGATTTTTTTCGATTTTTTTTTCAAAAAATTTTCGAAAAAATTATTGTGAAATTTTTTCGATTTTTTTAATTTTTCAAATTTTTCAAATTTTTTCAAAAATTTCTTTTTGAAAAAATTTTCTTAAAATTTCCTTTTAAAAATTTTATAAAAATTTTATTTTCCAGCTATAACCTAAGAAAAGGCGGCCGTTTGGAAAGACATCACAGGAGAAGCTTGAATGATTGGGTTAATGCCGCAAAACATTTGGACGGGGAAGACGAGAAAATTGCTAAAAAGCACCCTCGGCACAGTCACCGGCATAAAAAGTGAATTTTCTAATTTTTGGAAATTTATAAAATTTTATTTTAATTAAAGAAAAATTCCAAAAATTCACAAAATGGAATTGGACCAAATTTTAAAACAAATGGATTCTATTGTAAGGCCTCGTTTTGGGAGATGATATTATGAGAGAGAGAGGATAACATTGTTGACTATTAAAAATCATAAATATTAATCTCAAACATTTGAAAATTTCGTCTCTTTATAATGAACTCGAACAGCTGTTATGTTCGATTAAGATGTAAGATCAGTAAATCCTTGGTTACCGTAAGCCGAGAAACACGATTTCTCTTTCTACAGGGATTACGGGACGAGATACCGCAAGATCTCAGCAAATATTTTTCTGTTTCGAAAACAGCTTTGGTAACCAAAATTTTCTCATAGGCTGACTCTCAGTATTAGGGTTGTTGGTTCCTGTAAATTCTTCGGATATCCGAAACCGAACCGAAAACCGAACGGAAAAATCTTCGGTTCTTCGTTTCAGTTCCGTCCAGAACCGACAAACCTACTCAATATTTCGTATTTATTCCAATTGAATGGCCGCCATTCTATTTTTCA